CACCCTCCCACGGGAACCCCCCCCCCTCCCTGCGCCCCCCCCGGCCCAGGCTGCGGCGCCGCGCCGCGCCGCGAGGTGGCGCCCTTGCTCCACGCTGGACGCGCGTCTCCCGCGCTCGGCCGCGGGGCCCCGCGTAACACCTTGACTTCATTAGCGGCAGCCACCGGGCTGCTCGCTTGGCGAGCATGAATAATCCCGAGGCATAAAATATAGGGTTAATTATCGCTATTTTGCCGATTTTATAGGTTACGTCTATTTTTTCCCTGCGAGGGTGAATTATGTGAGGCTGGGAAAACAACAAAAAAAAAGAGAGTTAAGCTGGAAGCTCTGTGCTGGGATGCGGTGAGAGGTGGGGCACGCAGCTATTTTAAATGTTCATTTAAAGGGGAGAAAAATACCATCGGGTTTTGTCTTCTGCTGGTTCGGGTGGAGGTGGGAGGACAGCGTAATTATCTCCAAACCGAAGATTTACGTTTGCAGGACTGGAAAAGAGAGTGGCTGAAAGATTTCGGGGGGAAAGGCGCACACAGAATCAGGGCATTTTCCCCTGGCTCTTTACCTTAGCCGTTAGGATGATCTGCGCTTTCTCAGCTCTTTATTTTCTACGCTTTACGTTCATAGCCATCGCCGAAAAAAAGCCAGTATATGCTTTTCAGAAGTTGAACGGGTGATTTTTGGTAAACTTGCTCCGTCTTTTGGTAATGCTACTGCTCTTCGCCCAAGGTCTTCACTTAATATGTTTGGAAATATTTTTAAATGCTACAAAATAGTAAATTAATCCAAAATGCTATTAACTTACCACGTTTTGTGATATGCGTAAATATTCCACGGATACAGTAGCAGCAAAAATGTAAACTTCTAACTCCGTTAGTTCACTTTTATTTTGGCCTTTGTTTCTTCAAAATTACAAGGCAAAAATTATTCAGACGTTCCAGTCCTTCAGCTACAAATAACATAGAAAGGAATGGTGGCAATAATTTCAATATAGGTTTTCTTTCAAATTGTTCTAAACAGATATTTTCTGAATAAACGTTGCTCCGAAGTTACACCAGAAAACGTGCGCGCGCTGCCCAGTACGCAGCCTTCTGGGGAAGGACGTAACAAATTAAACGGGTGCACACAACAGAACGGGACGCAATATGCTGCTTCGAGAAGCAAAGTTTAAGCATCTCAGGACTCTGCTTAAATGCTCTAAAATGAAATACAGAAGTAAACAGAAATAGATGGGGAAAATAAAGACAAATCCTGCCCTTGTGCATTCAGTAAAATGCGGAGTAGTGGAAAGTTAAGGTTTACCTAGGAAAGGGTTTGGGGTTCTCTTTTTTTTCCTTGTGAATTCCTAATAAATCTTTCCTCCGCTGGGTATTTATACATTATCTTCTCCCTCGCAGACACACACAGGCAAGCACACTCACACACATCCCCACTTGTTTCTTCTTATAATAGAAACATTTTCCTTTCATCAGGAATCTGAGTACAGTATATGAATGATTTAAGATCAGCCATTGATTTCTGGTGCATTGGTGAGTTACCATCCCATCATGACCATAAAATCCTCCTGCACTTGATAAAAATGTTAACTTCCAAGAACAACTTCGCTCCTGCCTTCTTGGGGTCCACGGACGAACGGGAATTCCTGCTATTTTTTACTTGGCGAACTTGAATAGATGGGAGTACCCCTCCAAACACACACAGAAGAGGAGAGCATCTTTTCTAAAAATACTTTAGTCGATTCAATTTTTTTTTTTTTTTTTGCTTTCTTGAAAATTCCAGCATCGAGCATCCCCACGCCAGGCTGCAAAGCTCTGTTTACTTCTGTGCACCATTTCTGGGGTTTTATGTTCAAAGAGGAAACCAAAATCTGCTCAATCGACAATAAAAGTGTTGAGAAAAATAAAATGTTAACTTGTCTTTTAGGGGGGAAAAAAAGCCTTAATTATACCACTGCAAGTACTCCAACAACAATAATTACTTGAAAAGGCTCTTAGGCTCGACTGAAATGATCCCTACACAAAATAAAGGAAACGTATTTACTTAAACTATATCTCTAAGGATGGTTTTAAAGTTTTATTCCGTTACTATCTTTGTTTTCTTTCTTTCTCTCTTTCTGCCTGTCTGTCTCAATTCCCTGCCTATTCCCACTGCCAATTTTAATTCAAGTATTTTTTCACCAAAGCCCTGGCAAGACAGACTAACCGAAACATTTCAACTTTTTCCTCTTTTCCATGGTGTGGAGGTGGAAAATTGTCCCTCGGTTGAAGGCAGGCACGAGTGAAACCCTCTTTCATTCACCTTTCTCGTGTCAAAACCGCGCAGACGGATGCAATGGGAAGCAGCAGAAATCTACCCGGGGCAAAGGGGAAAAAAAAAAATAAATAGAGGTTTAAAAGGGTGTCTTTAACTCCTGTTGAAGGATTGGAAAATATAGGTGGCATTGCGGGGGGCTTGGAGGGGCGCCGGGGGTGTCAGGCAGGCTGGGGCAGCGGCGGGGCTGGGCGGGTTTGGGTCGTTATTAGCTGAAATACGCCTCGGTAATATTTGCTGACTGCGCTAAATGAATTTCAAAATCTACCCCCTGTGTGTTTAGATGGTGGAAAATTGCAGCGTTGGCATCTTAGGGGTAAGTTTGCCTCGTTGTTACCAAATGCCAATAAAATAGAAAGCCTCTCTCCCTCACCCCACCCCCTCTTCTCCCCAGTTTTCACTACAAGTATCACAAAAAAAAAAAAAATTTTTTTTTTTTTTTAAGTTATTGAGGAGGGGGTGAGGGAGGGCACAGCCATCCGTTCCCGGCCGTAAAGGCTCTGCTCGGGGTGTGATAAGCCACACAATACTTTTAGTTCGCAATCATCCCCGACCACATCTTGAACGAGTCCTCGGCGGGGGAGGAGGCAGGGAGGGGGCTGCGGGAGAGACACAAAAAGTCAATGTTATATATGAAAAACTATAATCATTTTAATTCAATATTGACACCTCAACATCTCGCTGTAATGCGGACGGGTCCAATCGAAACCTCTGGTTTATAGCAGTAGAGGAACGAACTCGTAAAATCCTAACGGCTTTTATGTAGTGCGGTATAAACAACAACAACATCCCCGGCTTTATGGCGTTTTATAGTTTGTTAAACAGTTTACAGCCTTTTTTGGGGCTATTACAAATGCAATTCCCTTCATGTGATAGTTAAACCTTTATCAATAATAAGGAAATTGATCATTAAAATGTTAAATATGACTACCTCGTTTGTTTTAAAATATGTTTAGGGTAAGAAGCTGTATGATTTGATAACTTGTATTAAAATACCAATTACATTTATAGGACCTTTTAAAACTGGTAGCAATTAAATCGTGTTCTTTTACAGTTTTCCAAAGCGACCCTGACATTTAAAAAGGCTAAAACTGCCTCGTTAAAATTTTGAAATTAACGACTGCGAGCGCTTCTCTTTAATTTTCCAACACTCCCCAAAAATCAATCTTTTGGGTGGTCTAGGTATGTGATTTGTTGTGAGGCGAGCGATATCTCATTAATGTAGGTAGTTAAACATATTTAATCCGTATATTCACCCCACCTCCTTCTCCCTTCCCCTCTCGCTCCCTCTCTCTCTCTCGCTCGCTCCCTCTCCCTCTCTCGCTCCCCCTCGCTTGCTTTTCCTTCTTTATTCTCTCACACTCTTCCTTTCACAATCATGCGGTGCAGAGTCCGTGTGGAGTAAGGAGAAGCCAATAGGATGAGGTTTTGGTAATAGATGCAAATGATCATGAAAAGACACTGCAAAATATGAAACAACTCATTTGCGCTGAAGTAAATCACTGAAAACTGTTTATGAACTGGCATCTCTTCTTGGAAATGTAAAGCGAGAACTCTTTAAGTGGCGATTTTTTTTTTTTTTTAGGGGTGGGGGGGAGGAAAGAATTCAATATCATGCAGGCTTAGAGTTTTGATTATATCCTCCTTTTATATTCCTGGAAATCACAAACTGTCGTTGCTTAGCATCTTAGCGCTTTCTTTTTTTGCTAATAGATTCCCGTGGTCTGGTTTGGTTGGCTTCTTTTTTTTTTTTTTTTTTTTTTTTTTTTTTTTTGCCTTTTCTTCCTCCTCCAAACAAATATTCTTATTTAAATTAAAATGAGCTCTTATTTTGTCAACTCACTCTTCTCCAAATACAAAACCGGGGACTCCTTGCGTCCCAATTACTATGACTGTGGGTTCGCTCAGGATCTTGGGGGCAGACCCACGGTGGTGTACGGACCCAGCACGGGGGGCACCTTCCAGCATCCGACCCAAATCCAGGAGTTTTACCACGGAGCATCCTCACTCTCCAGCTCCCCTTACCAACAGAATCCCTGCGCCGTGGCGTGCCATGGGGACCCCAGCAACTTCTATGGCTACGACCCCTTGCAAAGGCAGAGCCTCTTCAGCGCCCAGGAGTCGGACTTGGTGCAGTACACGGACTGCAAGCTTGCTGCCAGCGGCCTTGGAGAGGAGGCGGAGAGCTCGGAGCAGAGCCCTTCTCCGACCCAGCTTTTCCCCTGGATGCGACCGCAAGGTGAGGCGAGATGGAAAGGACAGCGAGGAGGCAGTTCCTGAGCCCATAAAGTAGCCCTCTGCTTTCTTTCTGCCCCTCTTGCTTGCTTGCTTTCTTTCGCTCCCTTTTTCTTCCCCGGTGACTGTATTTTACTGCTTTATGGGGGTAAACTTTTGCACTTGTAAATTGCTTTATAGTTTAATTACCCTGAAGGAGACCTTTTCTTCTGGGGGCTGAGCGAGCCGGGCTTTCTGTGGAAGGACGCGTCCTTAAAGTTTATGGCACTTTTATAGCCTTAAAAAGCCCCCTCATTTTTGTTTTGCGTTTGATTTGGGGTTTCGGCGGTGCTGCTTGCTCTCCCCGGGCTGCAGCTCTTT